AGGGGTGGGGGGAAGTGTTATTATCGGACGGGCACAGAGCGTGGAGAGACAGAGCCCGAGCCAGTGGTGCTGATGGTCATGCAACCGGGGGGACACAATAAGGCTGAGCCCACAGTGGGAGCAGGCCCGTTTTATGTTATGTATCTTTCACAACATTGCACAAAAATAGAAGAGAAACAAGGGGTTGCAACAGAGCAGAGATGGAAGTGGCCCCGGAGGGCCTCCCCTCTGAGGACACGGACTGACCACAGAGACAGGGGACATCAGCGGAGAGGCAGGGGAAGCAGACCCTGGAACTTCTTCTGGGAAGGCAAAGAGAAAAGAGCCCTGGGAGACTTGGGGGACAGGCTGGGAAATCCACATGCCAGCATCCAAGGAAAAGCCCAGGCCAGGGGTGCCCGAGGGGCGCGGTTAGCGTGGGGCTCTGCAACCCGGAAGCTTGGTGCTCTGGTCAGCAGGGAGAGCAGGGACTAGATAGAACATCTGGAAGCAAGGGTCCTCGGGCCCTGGACAGCAGGAGGGCAGGCCAGTGGTCCCTGAGAGGAGCAGGAGAGGAGACAGCGCCCTGCGCGTGCCCGAGCGCACCACCTGCAGTGCCAGGCTGCAGCATGGAGATGGGAACCTCAACACAGCCCAGAGCTGAGGAGGTGGAATTTGGGATGTGGGATGGGACAGAAGAAGGTGCTGCGGAGAGAGAGCCCTGCTACCAGAGTCCCCTCGAGGCTTGGGTCAGATGTGGATGTCACATGCAGGGAGGGGCCATTCCTTGCTTCCTGTGCCAGGGAAAGAACCACAGGAATGGACTAAGCAGAAGGACGCATGGAGCTCAGCAGGGCATAGTTTGCATCAACCCAGGGGAAAGACCTCCTGATACTCGGGATGCGGCCAGGTTATCATCTGAGTAGTCTGTTGTGGGGCCGAAGCGGTCCTGGGTCTGCCCTAGACCCATCCTACAAAGTGTAAGAAGAAATCTCCAAGGGCTCAAACTGATGCCGAATAGCCTAAGAACATCTCAGACAGAGCCCTCATGCAGGAAAGAGACGGCCAAAAGGAAAGCGAGTGCTCAGCACCATGAATGTTCACAATGTCCAGCATCCAATTAAACATCACCGGGAACCCAAAGCATTATGCAAATCCCAACCAGGAGCAGAATTGAGCCTCAGAAAGAATCCCAGAAATATATAAACAGACCTGATATCTTCTCAGAAGGAGGAGAAAGCAGGAGTGTACTAGGAGGGCATTTTTAAAGAGCCAGATTGAACTTCTTGAGATAATAAAATGAACCCCTCTGGGGCCGGGGAGATGGCTCAGTAGGATAAGTGCTTGACCGGCAAACGCAAGGATCTGAGTTCAATCCCCGGTTCCGCAAAGAAAAAAAAAAAAAAATGAACCCCTCTGAAGTGAAAAATACAGTGGCTTCAAGACGAGGAGACAGCACCAAAGAGAAGATCAGCCAGCTTGGAAGCAGCAGGAGAAATCATCACAATGGGAGACAGAGAAAAAGGTTGAAAGCAAATGAAGACAGAAGTGGGGGTGCCACTCGGGCAAGAGCGCTTGCTGGCGGGCCTGAGGCCCTTGGTGCAATCCCCGGCCCTGCAGTGAGAAAACGCACAACTTGTGTGACCATATCCATCCATCTAACAAATATGCAGTCGGGGCCCAAGGAGACGAAAGGGAGACCAAAGAAGTAAAAATTATGATGGTCAAAGTATTTCTGAGTTTTAAAAACCATAAACCTCCAGAATAAAAAAAATCCTTTTGGCCCAGGCAGAACCACAGAGTACCTCCCACCGAGGCACATGGTCATCACGCTGCTGGAAGCGGAGCTAAAAGGAGCCTCAAGAACAGCCAAAGAGAAGAAGCAGAGGACGGAAGACAGGAGGAGCGGAGACTTCGCGCGGAAACCACGTCAGCCGGGAGGCTCCGGAGAGGCACCATTGAAGTATTGAAAGAACAGGCTGTTGGAATTCTACACCCAGGGAAGTTATCTTGCAAAACCAAATCCATTTCTGTAGGGACAAAAGCCCATTAATAGTAGACCGGCACCACACAACCTGCTTCAAGAGCTTGCTCTGGTCTGAATGTGACCCTCCAAGATTGTGCGTTGAAGCTGTACCCCCAATAAAAGCCAGAGTCCACAGATGCGGTCCATGGAAGGGTTGTAGGCCATGAGGGCTCCACATGTAAAAGGATTAGTGCTGATTCTAGGCCATTTCTGGCTGCAAGTTCAATGCCCTTTTGTTCCACACTCACGTGATGTCTTTGCCCTTCGGCCTGCTGCTGTGGGCCAGCCGGGCACGGCAAAAAGCCCTGGCTGCAGGGCCTGCCCTTGACCTTGGGCTGCCTGGCCTCCAGAGCCGTAGGAAACGAATCTCTGTTCTTCACGAATGACTCAGTGCCAGGTGTCCTAGCAAGTGTGAGGCTCTGGGCATGAGCCACAGTACAAGAGCAGAAAATGAGCCGGGACAGAGTCTTCAGGCAGGAGGAACCAGATGGAGGAAGACACAAGGAGCACTTGAAGTGGGAACCGCGTGGCTCAGTGTGCGGCCTTCTCTCGCGCTCAGCAATCTCTTCTGCTGACGCTGTGGGGGTTTGGTTTTGGTTTGGGTTTTTTTGAGCAAAATAACACATTGTGAAATTTATGAAATACCCATACAACGGTCCTGTCCTAGGTCAGAACATAGGGCTGGCTTAGTGAGATTAGGACAAAGTGGATGACAGCAACAGTTGGAAAACAAAAGCTAAGGTCCTGCTAAGGGAAAGAGGCCAGACCCCAGAGGTGACATCCTGTTTGAAGCAGCTTATGAAAAATCCTAGAAAAGACAAAGCCATGGCGACAGAAAGCAGATGGCAGGAGGAGCTGGAGCTAAAGGGCGCTGCCCCTGCGGGCCGAGGGTACCTGCCATGTGGATCTGTCTAAGCGCACCCTTAAACTGGGAGATTTTACCACCCCTAACTTATCCTCCATCAAGCTACAGAAAGTTAATTTATTTTCATTGTTTTAAAAATCTGCTGTTAAATGAAACACAGGAAGACTTGGGAAGCCAAGCAGAGGCATGTGCAGGGGACGAGGCCTTCGTGCGGAGGGAACAGAGATGGGGGTGTGGTGGGGCTGCTGCCTCACGATGAAGCCTGGCGTGGGGAAAGTGGGGTCGTGGTGTGTGCACAACCGCAGGATGCTCAGGGACAGAACAGTGTCCTGTGGAGGTCGAAGGGCACTTGCAGTACAGGACAGGGGTCCCATTCAGGGCACAAGGAAGCGGGTATGGGTGCAGACGGGGTGCGCCCGATGAGCTGAGGCTTCTGCAGGCTTTGGTTTCCTTTACAAATCAGGTGGCAGCCGGACAGGTGGCCGGGATGGTGATGGTGCCGCTTTCTCAGGCTCCCCGTGTCAGTCCTGCAGGACAGGCTGTCAAGCCTGACAGTGGTGGCCAGACCACCCATCCCCTCTCCCAGCCCAAGCTGTCAAACTGTGACAGCCCTGAACAGGGAAGGAAGGCTGTGTCCTGGGGTAGGTGGGGAGATGGATGCTTTGAGTCCGGAGGGCAGGAAGCACCCAGGAGGAGCAGCAGCCAGCTGGGTCCCGGTGCCCTCCACCCTCTACCCCACACCCCTCCACCCCTGCAGGGTGAGCCTCCCCCAGCTGTTTTGCATCAGATAGCTGCTAAGTTGCTCTGGAAGCCACTCCTGGAAGGACTGTGTTCAGTTCTCCTACCAGGTTTTCTCTGCAGAAGATACCAAACCTCACTTGAGAGAGCAACAGTCGCTTCCCCAGGGATAGACTGGAGATGACCTGAACCCTCAATCAGCCAGAGATTTCTCCTGCATGACATTTGGGCATATCTCCGAGTTGAGGCTGTGGGGCAGGGTTGGCCCAGGCCACAGCTGCTTTGGCAAGTAATCAAGGTCACATCCCCACGCCATGTGGCTTTGAGACCCTGGAGGGGCTCCTGTGTCTGAGTAGGGATCCTGGGGCTGTCACCTCTAGTGGGGAGGCAGACAGCAGGCAGCTGTGGGCAGGGGCTGGGTCCTGAGCCATCACTCCAATGCCCGAGCCCAGGAGCTCCAGGATAGGTGGTCATCACTGACTTTCACTGCCTGGGACCCCGGGGGGGGATGGACGTGGAGCTCCACAGGACAGGACAGAGGCTCCTGGGGCTGTCACAGCTTGGGGATCGAGCTCGCCCTAATGCACGTGTCAGGGCCATGCCTGAGATCCTGGCGCAGTCTCAGGGCCCCACATGAGTCATTCAGCGAAAACAAAATGAACAAGCCACAGTTGGCTTCACCCCTAGAGGAGCTAAGGCACTCATGCGAAGGAAACAGGACAGGCGCAGGAGAAGCAGCTTGGGGGGACGGTGCGGCTAATTTGGCCGGGGGCCCCCATCCTCCTTTGCCTCCAGCTTGTGCTTGTAGAAGAGGCTGTAGAGCACCCGCAGTGTGCTCTTGGCATCCTTGTTCACGATGTCTGCAGATCAGAGAGGCAGGGCAGGTTCTAGCATGCTGGGCAGCTGGGCCTGAGTCCTGTCCAGTGTCTGCCACATGACCAAACCTCCCCCCTGTTGCCCCCCAACTCTCCCCATGCCTCGCATGTCCCCCCAACACAGAGACTCCTGTCCCCGTGCCTTGCACGGCACTCTCACCTTCGGGGTTGATGGGGTGTCTGAGCAGGCCTTCGTCCTTCAGCAGGGCCAGGGCCAGGGTGACATTGTGCAGCTGCAATGACAGGGACCATTAGAGGACAGCAAATGAGGCAGCCCCAGCTCTGCTCAGGCCTAGGTCCCAGGCCCCACCTGTCTCTCACAACATCTGTCCACATCTGCCCAGATGCCTTCCATGGACCACAGGAGGAATTGCTCAGCATCGCCTTTCACCCCCATGGAAGGGGAGTGCATTCCTTCACTCCGGGGCCCTGGATCAGAGGCCTTGGCCACTCACAGCCCCGCATTGAGCAAGTATCCCTCCGGACACATGCACACACACTGGAGGCCACCTCTACTGGGAAAGGCCATCACCCAGGAAGCACTAGGGGTCACAGGAAGCTTTCAGGTAGAGGTGACACTGGGCCATGCATCTATGAGGTAAGGGGCCTCCACCAGGGGATAGAACAAGGGCTCATGGGTGGTCAGGACCCATGGGAATACCTGCAGGCAGGCTGGAGGCCTCAGGAGCCATTTCTCTCCCTGCAGCCTGTCGCGTCAGCCACACTTCCACCTGGCTGGAGCCTTGGCCCCAACCCCCTGCACTGTGGAGAGTGTTGGCAGGTCCAAGACCACCTGGCTTAGACCTCAGCTCAGCATGGGATCCCTTGAGCTCCACACTGTGTCACTTTTCCCCCACCCCCACTGCTCACCTGCAGAGCTGTTCACCTGGTCCCCTGCTAATATGTTTGCCATGGGATGCTGGCAGGAGCTGCCCTCCCCAGCTCCCTGCCCTGCACAGCCTCCAGGCTCCGCTGAGCCTCACACCCCGCTCTCTCAGGGCAGCAGCCTAGCATGGCAGAGGGTGTGGGTGAAGCAGGGTGAGCCCTGGATCTGCTGGGAGACCTTGAACAGCATTCCCTGCAGGGGTCCCAGCCACCTATAGCTCTGACATGGGCCCAGACATCCCTGCCTGCTCCTAACTGCTCCCCAGTTTCACTGGCGGCAGTTCCCATGGCAACTCAGTGGCACAGAGGCCGGGCTGGCCGTGCATCAGATTACTCAGGCCAAGAGAGGCTCCTGCGAGGCCCCAGCCCTGCCCGCTGCTCCCTGTCACCTCCCGGATGGTCAGCAGGAGCGCTGAGTATGGGCTGCATGCTGGCGCACCAGGCCCGTCCCCCTGTCCAGGTCAGACAAGTCACGCATCCTGGCCAGCCTCAGTTTCCTCTCGAGGGAGGGGGTGGGCATGGTGAAGATCTGCCACTCTGAGGTGGCTGCAAGATGGAACGGGATGGCAGACACAGGACAGAAGCTCCCACACCAGTGTGGAAAGAGGCCAGTGACACACACAGTGGCAGGAAGTGGGCAGCAGCGTCCTTCTCAGCTTGGGGCGTCCTTGTCACTGCATCAGAGGGACAAGGCTGAGGAGACCTGGGGTGGGTTCAGGACACAGAAGAGTGTGTTTGCAGTCGGTTGGCTTCCCACAGGGCTATCCTCCCCAGAGCTGAAGAGGAAACAGAAGTCACCTCACACACTCCGGGGACACCGAGACTGGGGTGCAGCTGTGGCCCCATTGCTCCATCCTGTCATGGGGTCCCCAGGTCCTCCCCAAGACCAGGACATCATGGGAAGCGAGGCCTGAAGTCGCTGTTGTCGTTCACATCCACGTCAGGAACATAGCACATAGGAGGCACAGAGAGCAAGCTCTGGAGAAGAGGAGGCCGAGACCTGGGGTCTCTTGCCTCCCAGCCCTGCTCTGCAGCCTCTGTGAGCCAGGCATTGTGCAAAAGCTCGATTCAGGATGGGGAGGGAAGCAAGGCGGTTGGCCCAGTTTCTCTGGAAATTGTTGAGTTAAAGAAACGCAACAGGGGCTGGTGAGATGGCTCAGTGGTCTAAAGCACCTACTTGGAACAAGCTAAGCTAAGCAAAGCACAGGGACCACGGTTCGATCCCCCAGCACCACATGCCAGCCAGCCCCGACCCCTGGTGGGCTGAGTTGGCTACACACAAAATAAATAAATAAATATTTAAAAAAAAGAAAAAAAAAAGAAACGCAACAGACTTTCACCGCAGGACTTCTCAGAGCCTTGAAGGTGTCGGGAGGCTTCATGAACCTTCACGAGGACACGTGCTTCCCAAAATATTTGATCACAGAATTCTTGTGTCACAGAGCCCCATGGGGGACAAGTGTTTGGGAAATATTCTCTCAGTCACTTATTTTAAAATGATTTGTGGAGCGTTGGCCGTGCCGGGGCGGCTGGAAAGAGCCCACTCTTGAGGGGTTGATGCTTTACTGACAGTAACATTAAAATGTAGCATTTGCTGTGGGTCGCCCTCTTCCTAACAGTGCACCTCCTGAACCCAAGACCGGCTCGAGGAGGAGCCAGCTGGCCGCGCTACAGGTGGAGCCGGCACGCCCTCCCGGCACTGCTTTTCGTCCCAGGCACGGTTTGAGAGGCTGTGGGGAGATATCCTGCTGCTCCGCAGGGGCCAAGAGGAGGCCGCAGCCCAGAGGACGCTTCTTGTCCTGCTGGGGGCAGATAATTGCAGGTGAGAAGAAGCCGGAGGTTCCTGGCTCCTGGGCTTTGATTTCTGCAGAGCAAATGACCACTTTCCTTCTGTCCTCAATTTCAGCTTCCTAAATGAAAGGCAATCTCGCTACAACACCAGGCTCAAGGAAGGTCAGATAATGGAAATGCAATTTCAGAGGCCGCTGTGCCCAGCAAGCGGTCCCACTGGTGTCCCTCTTCTGGGAGGGGTCACTGCCACCACAGTCTTCAGCGTGCTTGGTGTCTGCTGCTGCTGGAGCCAAGGGTCCCGCATATATCCACTGCTGGGCTGGGCTGTGGGGCCGCCACAGTTCCCTCACCTCCCGTGGGACTCTCTTGGACCCCTGGGAGACTCGGGGAAAACCTCAGGCTTTGCAGACAGACAGGCTGGTTGCAGCCGGCCTTTGTCCTAGTCAGCTGTGTGCTCTTGGCCAGGTAACTGCACCTCTCGGGACCTCCTGCGGAGGCCAAACAGGACAGTCCCCAGCCCTGGGCCCAGCATCAGGATGCTTCCCGAGCCAGCCGCAGGCCTGAGGGAGAATGCGAGCTTTTCACGACCATCCCGTGGCCCCGGCAAGGCTAGAGCCCTCTGTGGAGTGGACAGGAAGGGGCAGTGTGCCCTCTCGGCCAGCCCAGGTCCTCTGCTTGGTCTCAGATCTCTGCCTCAGCTGCAAGGAACGCACACCAGGCAGGCTGCAGCCCCCAGGAGTAGCCTGAGAGGCACGCGTCACAGGAACAAAGCCCCTGTCCAGAGGTCTGACCCCAAGGTGGTCTTTGCCCTGCTGAGCACCCCAGCCCTGCTGCAGATCCGTGACAATAGGTGACTGTGGTTTGGGAGGAGCACAGGCTGGACACAGCGTCTTGAGTGCTGGGGCAGATGCTTCTTCTACTAGACGTGGGCCCCAAATGCTCCCAGCCCTGGCCCAGCTCCCCTGCTCTCCGAGCCCAAACCCAGGGAAACAAGGCCTACAGTTGGGCCCCAGGAAGGCACAAGGCCTAACCTGGACGCTGGACCACACTGTGCCCAGCAAGGCCCCGAAGGCTGACCTGGAATGACCTTGGCCCTGCTAGTGTCGCCACATGAGAAGAGCCACTGGGGCAGAGAGATCCAGGGGGCCCCCGCCCAGGCTGCCCCTGCTGTGGCCAGAGGGGAGTTGCCACCTGGGGTCCCGGGCTGGTCATTGGCCTTCAGCCACCACTCAGGGCTCATCAAGGGCTCCCAATGGCCATGGCTGGCCTGATGCATGTCTGCCTTATGGGCCGGGGCTCCCCACGGGGGATGAGGCAGCGTGAAGGCTCAGAGGCAGGAGATGAGCTTGAGGAGCTGCGGCCGCACAGGAGGGGCTGAGGGGCAGGGGTGGGAGCCAGCTGGGCACAGACTTCCCTGGGCCACAGATCGCCATTCCAGGGCTCACCCTGTCCCCTCCACCAGACCTCTTGACCCCCTCAGCTCATCCTTGCCTACCTCCTTCCTTGGGTGACCACAGACCCTCCTGACTGACTTCCACAGTGTCTCCTAGCACCACCCCCCACTCCCATCCTGCCCTTCTCAGGTCTTGCAGCCCACTGAACCCCACACCTTGCTGTGCTGTCCTCTTCCCTCCAGTGTCTTTCCTCTTCCACCCCAGCTCTGCCGACCAAAGCCTTCTGAGGCAGTACCTTCCCTGGTTCCTTCAGATCAGGCTGACTACTCCTCTCTTCCAAGTCTCCCCTGCTCCCATACACACCATGGAAGTGCACATGCTGTGTGTGTCCTTCTTATCCGTGGGAGGACAGTGGGTGTAGTCAGAGGCCGCAAATGCTTGGGCTGTGTTGGTTGCCTCTATGTTCCTCAGCATGGGACCTGATACTCAGCAGGTCCCCCAGAGTGAGGGGTGCAGTGCATGGATGGATTAGGTGAGTAGATGGATGGATAGATGGGAAAGTGGATGATGGAGGCAAGTGGTTGGCTGGGCAGATGGATGGATAGATGGATGGATGGATGGATGGATGGATGGATGGATGGATGGATGGATGAATCCATGGATGAATGGATGGATCCATGGATCCATGGATGGATAGGTGGGTGGGTAGGTGAGTGGATGGATGGATAGATGGATGTGAGAATCCATGGATGGATGGATGGATGGATGGATGGATGGATGGATGGATGAATCCATGGATGGATGGATGGATGGATGGATGGATGGATGGATGGATCCATGGATGAATGGGATGGATGGATAGGTGGGTGGGTGGATGGATGGATAGATGGATGTGAGAATCCATGGATGGATGGATGGATGGATGGATGGATGGATGGATGGATCCATGGATCCATGGATCCATGGATGGATGGGATGGATGGATGG